TATATATATATATATATATTCAAAAGCATACGATAATTATACAAATTGTTTTCTATTTTTCTTCATTATATATCATGTTTTTATTCTCATCTCTCTTTATTTATATAAATTGTTGTGCATATTTATTGTATGGATATAATTTCTCTTAAAATATCAAACTAACCAATACGTATCGGTGCCTCGTGATCTTGCCTTTCCAAAATATTCAAACACCGTCACTTGTGAATGAGACAATTAATATATATAACCTGTTTATTTTAATATTTATTTTAGAAAATAAAATAAAATAAAAAATAATAGAGTGAGTAATTTATAAAAGAAAAATGATAGTTATTAATTGAATTTAATTTAGTTTTTTTTACTAATAAGATGATACAATGATCAATTAAATATATAAAAAAAAGTGATTACTAAAAGGAATATATTAATATAAATTAGTATAGATAATCTATTTATACAGTTTTAATTTGTGCCTGAACAATTGATCGATCTTTGAATCTTGTTGGCTCGCACACCTGTGCAACACTCCTTTCAATCAGATATTTTTGGTGGCAGTATCGCGATCATGGATATTGGTTATATATGACTTCATAACATGTTTTATTAAAACTGTTATTTACTTCCCTGCTTAATTTATTGAACATGTCCCAAAAGAGACGGAGGAAATGCAAAAGATGAATAGAACATGTTCCAATAATGCATTTCCTTTCAAATAACCACAGAAATATTACTCGTCCCGTTCTCTCCAACACGGTGGCTTGGTAAAAATACTTTTATAATAGTATTATTTTAAAATTATATATCTATTATATTTTTAATATAGTAATAGTGTATAAAAATTAAACTCAAAATAAATTCATGTTATGCAGGTTAATTTTAATTATTGATTTTGTTTTTATTACCGAATATTTCAGGACATAACGGAAGAAAAGGTTAATAAGGAGCAGGAGGTTTGCACGTTGGATGGAGCTATTGATAGCCGTGGTCGTCCTGCAGTCCGAGAGAGAACTGGAAATTGGGTTGCTGGGATTTTGATTTTAGGTACTCACTCCTCTCTTCAACTTCAACTTATGATTAAACCAAATTTTAACATACACGAATTGTCTTTTTTTATTTTTTTGTTTTCTTAAAAGTAATAATTACTCCTTGATAATATGAAAGTTATCAATACATACACTGCATGAGTTAAAATAGTAGTAACGTGTGTATATATGTAAGTATCAAATATTAATTTGATGAAAAGTAGTTAATAATTAGAATTGAATCAATAATCATGTATATATATTTAATTACTTATTTGTGTATATGTAGTGAATCAAGGGCTTGCGACATTGGCATTCTTTGGGGTAGGAGTGAATTTAGTACTATTTTTGACGAGAGTGATGGGTCAAGAGAATGCTGAAGCAGCCAACAATGTGAGCAAGTGGACAGGCACAGTTTACATCTTCTCTCTTCTTGGAGCTTTCCTCAGTGACTCTTACTGGGGAAGGTATATCACCTGTGCCATCTTCCAACTCATATTTGTTATTGTAAGTTATACTCATTGTACATACAAAAAGTAGCATATCTATCTAATGATCTAACTTTTTGACTAATTTGATTCAATGTTAACTCATATACTATATATCGGATTTATTCATGTCTATGGTTGAGACAAATTTAAAAAGAAAGAATTTAATGATTCTAAAAGACAAATATAACTTGACTCACAAATACCTAGCTCTAATGATCTATAATGTCAACATTGGTAGAGTGATAATGGTCAGTGGTGGAATAAGACATTAATTGTGCCAATGGATATGTGATATGCTTTCAAATTTCTAAGTATACATCTGGCCACCTTTAGGACCTACCGAAAGGATATAAATATCGTCATGTGTTCTTTTGTTTGTGGGAATGTTCATTCTATTTTGATGTTGATAAGAAAACATATTTTATTAAGAAAAAAAAAATTCTATGAGAAGTTCACTTAATAAAATTATATGACAATTTTGTATGAGTGGAGACTAGTTATTTTCTGAATAATTTATAATAAAGTCATTTCACTCAACTCTTAATAATTCTTAATATTTATTAAATTTTAATAATCTAATAGTTAAATATTTTGATAATTTCTTAATGATCATATACTAAATTTTATTTCAATCGGGCATTTGTAGATAAGTAATCTTGTAATTAGCATTTACTTATATTTTATAAAAGTATATTATGCATTAAAGTATTAGATAGCTTTCAAAATTTGTAAATTAGATTTATTTAATAAGAAGTTAATTTAACGATTAAATGGTTGAAATTTAATGTATATCATGAATTATTGAGAGATGTAGTAACTTTACATTATTCTAAAAATAACTTGATCTCCACCTATTTTATATTTATTTTTATTTGTAAACATTAATTTTAGTTAGGAATTTATCCAAAGTTTGGAAATATTTATAAAGCAAGTAAACATAAAATTCCTTATCATTTAAATTTTTTCTTCTTCTATGTTTTAATATGTTGTTTATAGTTATAATACATAAATGAAAAAGTAATTAATTTTGACATTATAATTAAATAATGTTGACAATTTTTTAGCATGTCTTTTTTATTTATTTTATTAATTACTTTGATATTTCATATATCATTGTTTCTCTCCTTTTTTTATGTAAGGATTTAATTGAGAAAAAAGTTATTAATATTATTCTTGGAATTTTAAAATAAAAGTTAAATAGAAGAAAAAATTTAAAAGGTGATAAATAATAATAATAATAATAATAATAATAATCAATAAATCTAGTTCCCTTAAAACTAGCAAATTTCATATAACCCAATTTAATTTATTTTTCATTAGTTTTCTTGATAACAAAATTTATAATATAAGGACAAATTTTCAATTTATAGCATATTGAACTTAATATTCATATTGCTTATATTATCACTATGATGATTTGGTATTCATGAGTGTTGATGTTAACTCTACGTGTAACAGGGTTTGGTGTCATTATCAATATCATCTTACATATTCCTATTGAAGCCTAGTGGTTGTGGTGATAAAGATTTACCATGTGGATCACATCCATCATACCAAATGGTTTTATTCTACGTCTCCATATATCTAATAGCACTAGGAAATGGAGGATATCAACCCAACATTGCCACATTTGGAGCTGATCAATTTGACGAAGGTGATCCCAGGGAACAACATTCAAAAATAGTGTTTTTTAGCTATTTTTATTTGGCTTTGAACCTTGGCTCACTCTTCTCCAACACCATATTGAATTATTTTGAGGATGAGGGATTATGGACTTTGGGATTCTGGGCATCAGCTGGCTCTGCTACTTTGGCATTGGTTTTGTTTCTTTGTGGCACACCAAGGTATAGATACTTTAAGCCTAGTGGAAACCCTCTTCCTAGATTTTGCCAAGTTTTTGTGTCCGCTACAAGAAAATGGAAGGTCAAGGTGCTACAAGATGATAAACTTTACGATGCTGAAGAATTCTCTGCCAGTGAAGGGAGAAAAATGCTCCACACCGAAGGATTTAGGTATGCATATAACTATCTCCACATACACTTGGTTTTGTTTTTACTAGTTATTCCTTTAGAAGCATTTTAACAAATTTAAACAATAATTTTTGTTTTTAGAGAATTAGTATATGTTAGCAACTCACTGATGTAACTTACATTGATTTTGTAGGTTCTTAGACAAAGCAGCATTTATCACATCAGAAAATCTTAAACAAATGGAAGAGAATAAGTGCAGTCCATGGTGTCTATCCACTGTGACACAAGTAGAAGAAGTGAAATGCATTCTAAGACTACTCCCAATTTGGCTATGCACCATATTGTACTCGGTTGTTTTTGCTCAAATGGCATCACTTTTTGTGGAGCAAGGTGATGCCATGGACACTAGAATTTCGGCTTTCCACATTCCTCCAGCAAGCATGTCTACCTTTGACATCCTAAGTGTGGCAGCTTTCATCTTCATTTATAGGAGAGTTCTTGACCCTCTTGTGGCCAGAACAATGAAATCCAAAGGACTGACAGAGCTTCAGAGGATGGGAATTGGCCTAGTCCTAGCTATTATGGCCATGGTTTCAGCAGGGTTGGTAGAGCACTTTAGGCTGAAGTATGCAATAGAAGATTGCAATGATTGTGAAGGGTCTAGTTCATTGTCCATATTTTGGCAAGTACCACAATATGTGCTAGTGGGAGCATCAGAGGTCTTCATGTATGTGGGTCAACTAGAGTTCTTCAATAGACAAACACCTGATGGATTAAAGAGTTTTGGTAGTGCACTTTGTATGACTTCAATATCATTGGGAAATTATGTTAGTAGCTTGCTCGTTGCAATTGTGATGAAGATCTCTGCCAGAGGTGAGATGCCAGGGTGGATCCCAGGGAACTTGAATAAAGGGCATTTGGACAGGTTTTACTTTCTCTTAGCAGCACTCACCACAGCTGATCTAGTAATATATTTAGCAATAGCTAAGTGGTATAAGTATGTCAAATTTCAAGGAGACACTCAGAAGGACATCAACAAACAAGACCCTCAACTCCAAGTCTAGAGAAATTAAATTACAGGGTATAATCTATGTACTATTTGCTGTGACACTAGAGAAATTCATTTTTGCATTTCGCCTAGTAGAGCAAAGAAACTACGAATTGTTTGTTGTGTTGGTGCATTTACAAATAAATTTGTATTATTATATTACAAAGTATATTTGTTTCGGTGCATATGTTGCATCTCCATGAATTTTTAAGCTCGTCTATCTTCAACTAGTATACCTATATTATATATATATATATATATATATATATAGTTTGTATCATCAATCATCTCTTTCCAAAACAAATATTCATATAAATAATTTTATATTTGTATAATGTATGAACAAAGACTAACGATGCAATTAGATCTTCTTTTCTTGGAAATTATGATGGAGCTTCTGGTTAATTGAGATACTTATCAAAATATTTTAACACTCAAATTAGTTGATGCTCGAACAAAGTGATGGTATGTAAAATAATGCATACGTAAAATTCGTGTTTATAAAACTCATAGGCGGATAAGTCACATATATGTGACGTAATTTGATCCACCCACACATCTAACTAACCAAAAATATAGAGAGTAGCTCTAAAAGAAAGCTAGTATGATTTTGGAAGACTCGTTATAAACATATATTTCATTATAGCTTATTTTTATTATATTTTTTCTATCACTTTTTAAATATTTCATCATATCATAGTTATTATTTTCTTTTATCTTTCAATTTCTTTACTCCCTTTCACCTCAATCCACCCCCAAATTGGTACAGATGTTTATAATTTTTCATTTTAGAATACACTTTAATCGGTGTGGTCTAAATCCGAGTCACGTGTTTAATTATCTGACCCATAAAAGTACTTTGGGCCTAGATATCCTTGTTGGGTCCAGTACATATGTTGATACTTAATTTTTCCAGACAATTATAGTACATAAATCAAATAATAACATATTTTAATAGATACAGAAACACTATCTTTATACCATATTTAAAATTCCGATTATTACCTCTTCATCGCTGTAACAAAATCCTTGTTCTGTCTTATTATGTTTTAAGACATCTCCAACCATGATTCTAGGCTTCTTAAGAATAAGAATATGTTGAAATATAAATGTTTACCCTGTTAGTTTTTGTCGATCGTGGCTGTATGGAACTTAAGTAGCGGCTATGAGACTCTGCCTTATCGAACACTGTATGGAACTTAAGTAGCGGCTATGAGGCCACACCTGATATTCTACAGCTTTTTGTTATATTTTTTCTTACTTATATTATTTTTGTTTGATGTTGACTTATTTTGAATGAGTATGTTAATTTGTTTTGAATTGTCTAATATTTCTTCCTCGTATTTTATTTATCAGGTTATCCAATTATAAAAATTATTTAAACAAATAATTAAAAATTGTATCTATATGGTTATACAAAAAAAAAAAGTACATTTATATCGACATTTTATTTAACAAGTTATTTGACTCTTAAAAATTATTGAATTATTCATCAAAAATAAATTAAGTATATAATAAAAAACTACGTTTTGTGAAAGATAATTTTGTCAAAAAAAATAAAATAAAGCAAGCAGTCTGAAGAGAAGGGGGAAAAACAGCGTAAATAGCATACCCCACAAATTTAACCAAAAAAGTATAGTGTACTGTAGTTAGAAAGAAGAAATAAAAAAAAAAGGGCCCAAATATATGAACAAAGAACAGTTGTAGAGAAAATTTAAGGCCCAAATTGAATTTAAAGGGCTGAACTAGAGCGTGTGGGAGAATCCATAAGGCCACAAATTAGCTCCAATCCATCACTCGTGGAATTTGGGCAGTGGCATGGCATCAAATTTCAGTTTACTACGTCATACATAAAAGAGGAGATATTAGTAATATATTTATTTAAAATATATCTTAACTTATGATTTTGTATGATATGAAATATCTACGTTAGAAATTTTTTAGAATAAGCTAAGTCATGTCTTCAATCAAGGAAAACTTAATTATTATTATGACACGAGTTTTGTCTACGCATGCTATAATAGAGGCTCCGACGCAAGCATATTAATGATATTGTGCAAGGATGAGGTGAGTATTTGATTTGATATCTGTTGTTTGGGTGTTAGCGGAAGAACAGAAATGATACTATTTTTAAGAAAAGTCAGAATTGGTGGAGGTTAAATATTACTCGTCTCACACTGGATAAATGATATAAAAGTGCAAAACATGTCCCACTATCATGTTGTTGTTGTTTTTAGAGTGGGTCACCTACCTATATATATATATATATATATATATATATA